GGGGGCCCGGGAGTACCAGCAGCCCCCCATCCATTCAGGGGGTGACGTGTACGGGGGACCCCAGAAGTACCAGGAGACCCCAGTCTGTTCCAGGAGGAACGTCCATAGGGGGGGACCCTGGGAGTACCAGCAGCCTCCCATCCATTCTGGGGGGGTGACACACACAGGGGGACCCCGGGAGTACCAGCAGCCCTCCATCCGTTCAGGAAGCTGATACACATGGTGGGGGGGACCCCGGGAGTACCAGCAGCCCCCCATCCATTTGGGGGTAGGGATGTGCATGGGGGGACCCTGGAAATACCAGCAGCCCCCCATCCATTCTGGGGGGGTGACATGCATGGGGGGACCCCGGGAGTTCCAGCTGCCCCCCTTCCATTAGGGAGGTGACGCGCATGGGGGGGGGACCTGGGAGTACCAGCAGCCCCCTCCTCAGTCCAGGCCTCAGCAGGGAGCTCAGGTGAGCAACACACAAGACGCACACAGCACACCTGGCCCACCTGGACCTGCTGGAAGGCCTTGAGCCTCTTCTTAAAGCGGGACGGCAGCACAAAGTCACAGCCGCGGGCCAGGGAGGCCAGCTCCTGCCTCAGGTCAGGGTCCTGGCGCAGGGACAAGTCCCGGAGCCGCATGTCGGCTCGCATGGGCCGCTGGGGGCCAGGCCAGGCACTGCGCTCGCGCTCTCGCTCTGACTCTCGGGGCTGGGCTGAGCCGGGGCCGGCAGGCTCGGGGTGGCGGCTGTGCCCGGCAGGACAGTCTGGGTGGCCGGGCTCAGCGCGCTCCATGCGTGGCCGGCCAGGCGCTCTGGGGGCCGGCCCTGGGCCGCTTGCATTCCACAGGCTGAGGAGGGCACATGGCTGCAGGGTGGGGGAGGCGGCCGCTCCTCCCTGCCGGCCCCTGGCTGTGAGGAGGGAGCCGCTCCGGCCGGAGCTGTTCTGGCTGAGCTGCCGGTGGGAGTCCCGGACACAGCTCCCCGCTCAGTGACCCCGTCTTGTGGCTCAGTCCGGAGGGACAAGCGCGTAAACAGGAGACATTTGGGGACAGCGCCTCTAGTTCCGCCGGTGGGGGACAGAGCCGTGCTCCAGAGAACTGAAGTGATCTGAGCAACTGCCTGCTAGTTAGTCAGCAGAGGCGGGGAGGGACGAGAGGAGGCGCTCTGCACAGAAGGGTCTGTCCAGGACACAAGAGAACCTGTCACGGAGCTCTCGCCAGATCCCTGCTGGTCCCCACGAGCCCAGATGCGGCCAAAGCAGCTGCTTCCTCCCTGAATCCGTGCCAAAAACAAAGGGGTCTGCGAGCACCGGCCGCCCTCCCGGCACTGAAGACGAGACACAATACAGCACACACAGTCCTCGAATGCTTTCTGGTCACAAGGGCGGGTGGGGCGGTATTCGGGGTTTCGGAGTTTGCCTGCCATTCTGCACAAGGTAGAGAACACGGCATATAACTTAGATCCGGCAACTGAGCTTACACAGAATGTAAGCAACAAGGTAAAATGTCACTGGTCAGGTGTGTGAGATACAGCGTAACGTCAGCTGTGTAGGGGGCAGAGTAACTAACCACAGAAAGTAACAACACAGGATACGACGTACAGAACGCAGGATGTCACAGAAGACAGGTAAGGAAGGCCAAGGAGCAGAGCACCAGGCTCTGCAGATGGCGTACGTAAGTGCCCTGTGGGTAACGCGGACTGGACTGTAGTGACCGGTCCTGCAGAGCACACGGGGTGGCTCCAAGCAGTGGGTTCCGGGATTGAATGAGGATGAGCTAACCCTCCCAGGCGCCTCCCCCTCCCTTCCCACCGCAAAGGAAAGACATCCTGAGCAAGCAGAGCCCACCTGTGCCCACGTTGGGTGTGGCTGGCACAAAGCCAAGGCACAAAAGTCCTGCTTGTGAGCCCAAGATGCTTTCAAGACGCTTATCCCAGAAGCGACAGACATTAGCATACACAGCAGCAAAGCAGAGCAGAACCTCATTGGCCAGACATCACCCCAACGTGAACCCAGCACTCGCACGACTCAGACAGGGCCATGAAGACAGTGGGCAAAAAGGGATCCATCCCCATCCACCACCCCAAGAAAAGACTTGGAGATGCGCCCGTCATCGGAGCGTGACGTTTTGTTCTCGGTAGTAAGGGCACCAGAACAGCCGAGCAGGGACACATGCACAGCCCAGAGAGCGGATGCCCACACAGCCCCGAGGGAAGACGTCCGCACAGCCCACAGCGGGCACAGCCATAGAGCCTGCAGCGGGCACAACCGCACAGCCCGCAGCGAGCGCACCTGCACAGCCTGGAGCATCACATCCTCGTGATGTAGCCCTGAGTACCCCTACCTCCTCATGACGGAGCCCCTGTACACCCCTACATCTTCATGGAGCCCCCCCGCACCCTACCTCTTGTGAAACATCTACCTTCAAAGCACATGCACACAGATTATATATAAAGACTTTTTACAACTCAATAATAAAAAGATAACCTAACTGCAAAAGCAGGGAAAACATTTGAAGACACGCATCACGGGGGCCAAAGACAAGCTGGGGGAAAAAAAAAAAAAGCCTCTGTTTGACCAGAAGTGCCCTCAGCATTTTACGAACATCAGACTTCACAGCCAGACCTGTATTTCCCGGTGCTTACGTAGGTGAGAGCATCCCATGACCTACGGCACTGGCAGAGCTGCGTGAAGTCCCCAGGGTTAACACGCAGCTCCTCTGGCAGCGCGGAGCACAAGGTGCTCCGACACACGGTGGCCACTGAGAGATCACTGGTGTTGTTACGTTCTAATCCGCGTACACAGCAAATCGCCTTCCTCTCAGGGGCGCTGCGAGGGTCGGTCAACGTGGCAGACGGTTACAGAGGTATGGACCACTGTGAGAGGAGGAGGAGGAAGGGGACCCTGGAGAGTCTGAACCAGCCGCTGGACGAGGTTACTGGGATACTGACCACGGCGGGGGGAGGCAGGAAGGAGGCCTTTGCAATCCGTGCAGGGACAGGGCATGCCCACTAAATCTGGTTCCCTTGGAGAACTTCCTTAGAAGCACTTTTAGGGTTTTCTGTGGTTGGGATTATGGGCGACAGCGCCACGGAGGCCCTGCGGTCCAGCCTCAGCCTTCCCTCACGGAGATGAAAGGAGATGTTACATGCACCAAGGGCCTGTTGCATGTAACACGTTTGCCACAAGCTTCATGTCATGTGTGTGTGGAGATCACCCCCGGGGCAGGGCATGTAACTCGGCAACCGGACCCCTAGTGTGTGTGGAGTCCCTGTGCCTCCTCGTTCCCTTAGCTGGAAATCACACGCAGCAGGGGTGAAAAGGAGCGGCTCGCGGCAGCCCTTCCACGAATGTGGACCGCGAAAAGATGCCGGGCCCCAAGGGAAGAGAAGGGGTGGACGGAGGGGCAGACCATCGCAGGCAGAGTGCACACTGAGCGCAGAGCCCAAGGTGGGGCTGGCTGTCCCGACACCGACACGGTGACCTGAGCTGAAACCAGCAGCTGCAGGCTTCACCGACGGGGCCTCCCGGCTGCCCCACGACTGTGAGAATGGTGATCACACTCCAGCCCCACCGTGCACACCTCCAGCAGCCAACCTTCTGCGGTCAGACCTCCAGCAGGCACAACGTCCTGGGCCCGGAGCACTGCGTCCTGCCCAATCCCACAGGCACACACCGACCCGGCTCCTCAGCCGGCCTTCTGCGGTCAGACTGCTGCGGCCAGCGCACGAGAGTGGACAGCTGATGTCCACGGCAAACCTCCCTTCCTGGCCCGCCTGCCTTCTCCCCGCGAAAGTCAGTGCGTTCCCCAAGTCGCAGACTCCCTTCCTGCACAATCTCCCTCCCACTTGGGAGGGACCACCTGTCTGTGCTGTGGACCCAGAGGAACTTCATTCCGACGCGGGCACGCCATGGGCCCGCTTTCCAGAAATACGTCCTTTTCAAGGCATCCCAGTCGCCCTCGTCGAGCAGTGCTGACCTGCCAACCTCTGCCGTCCGAAGAGGTTTCACGCAAGGTCACCGGGTCACAAGGTGCAAGAATTCACCTGCACGAGGGGCTGGGCCTCAGCGCTGACACCTGTACGCCATCAAGGCGGCTGCTCACTGCGTGAGACCTCGACGGTCCCGGGGAGAACAGATGCCATCGTGGGGAGGGAAACCACCGTCCCACAGAAGTCACTGGGCCGCGCGCTGCCCCTCACAGACCCAGCAGCCTCGGTGACACGAAGATTCCGGCCATACTCCCCCGGCACGGATTCTGCGGCATTGGGAAAGGGAGTGAGCCAGAGCCCAGGGCTGGGCCGCGGGCCCTGCAGGGGCACACCAGCCGTCCCGTGGGGTTCCCTACAGGGGCTGGGCCAGGTGGTCTCCCGCGTGACCACTGGGCCTACTTCCCCCTCCCCGTGGAGGCTTGCTTTCTGGGACATGTCGTCGGGACCGCTGCAACGGGCCAGAAAACCACGGGTCAAGGAGCAGAGCCAAGCGAGCTGGCCCTCAGAGCAGCAGCCGGCTGTCTGCGCGTGGCAGCTGGTCCACGGCTGTGGGAAGCTATCAGGTAAGCGATAGCACCACAGGGGTCCTTGACGGGGCAGGAGCTGCAGCGGAAACACGCGCCACGGGACAACCACGTTCCGCCGAAGGCCAAGGCTGCCAGCGCTGGGGTTCGCCCAGGAACGCGGGACGCACCGTGCCACAGTTCCCATCACACCGAGCCAACGCCTGGTGACTCTGAAGGCGCGCAGCGTCTCGTGGTGGGTGCCAACCTCGTTTTTCCGGCACCGGCCACGTGACTGTAACTACCGCAGACGACGTAAGGAGAAAACCAGACAAGTGGGGTAAGACCTCGGCTCCTTACTTGGGCCGGGAAGGACTGCGGAGAAGCGGGCACCGAAAGCCAGAGCGCGAGCAGACTGCCGCCCAACTCCGCGATCCCGCCGGACCACCGGCCTGGCGCTCTGGCAGCGACGAAATGCTCCAGCACACACGGCCCCGTTTGGGGGGAAACCGCGCCAACGTGACTGTTTGCACGTGGGGCGCTCCCGCAGCGCCGAGCCCCGGGTCGGAACGCGGCCGAGGTTGCAACGAGACGGGGAACTTACTACTCGCGTCCCTGCGGATCGACGAGTCGCCCGCAGGGGAGGCCCGGTCCGGGGACTCGCGGCGGCTCCCAGCGGCAGCGCCGCGGACGCGGGGGCCGGGCTGGGCGCCCCCAGGCTGTCGAAGAGCGCGGGCTTGCAGGCGGGGGCTGCGGCGGCCAGCGGGGGCCCGGGGGGCCCGGGGGGCCCGGCGTCCGCAGCGCCCGCCTCGGTCCTCGCGGGCATCTGGACCCTCCGCAGGCAGTCCCGGAGCATGGCCTGCGTGCCGGCCTCGCTGAGCCAGCACAGGAACAGCTCGTCCACCTTCATCTTGAGGACCGGCTGCAGGACTTTGCCGGGCGGCATCTCCACGGCGGGGGCCCTCCGCCCCGAGGAGCCCCTCCGCCCCGCACGCCGGCCTGACGCCCGAAACCCAAGTGTGGCCCGAGTGCACGTCCGCGGAGCCGCTGAGGGCCGCCCGCGGGGTCACGGGCCCGAGGTCTCCAGGAGGCGGGGGTCCGGGGAGGAGGCAGGTCCGCAGCCCCGGGTGCTAGGGTCCCGGGAGGCGGGGTTCGCAGCCCAGATCTTCGGGAGGCTGTGGGGGGCGGAGTCGCGGGCCTGGAGGCCAGGTTTCGGGAGGTCGCGGGCCTGCGGCCTGGAGCCCCGAGTCCTGGGGTCCGGGGTAGGGGGCGCTCTAGAGCCCGGCGTCCCGGGGTCCCAGGCTCTCAGGGAGGCGGGGGTCGCAAACCTGGGGTCTGGGGTCTCTAGGAGGCGGGGATCCGGGCCTGGAGCCCGGGGTCCTGGGGTCCCGGGGAGGCTGGGTTCGCGACTCGGGCCTGGAGCCCCGGTTCCCGTGGGGTCGCGGGCCTGGAGCCCGTAGCCCGGGGTCCCGGGGTCCCCGAAGCAGGCGGCGGCCCGGCCCAGCCCGGCAAGGGGCGAGGGACGAAGGACAAGGGG